TTCTTTAGTCTAAAATTATAAATAATACTAATAATATAATTTTAATAAACTCTTTTCTTTAATATTAAAAAATGACATATATATATATATATATATATATATATGCTTAATTATTTCCTCGAATATTATTTATTTTATTATAACAAATGCCTTAACTTTCGGCTGTTAAAGAGATAAAGACCCATTAAGCGACTCTGAAGAAATTGTTCCCCGCGTTGCTTACCGCAAAAAGTAATTTTTAATAATTACAAAACACGCTCTCATCTAACTAAACTAATAGATCGCATGATATCAAATTTTGTTTAGATGTTCATAGCACTTGTGTGTCAAGCTAACGAAAAAAATAAAAGAAAAAGACTTACATTAGAAGAGCGCGATTTTTTTCTTTTTTTTCTAAATAAAACTTTCCCTCAATTTTTGAACATATTTGTTAAAATTTATTTAAAAAAAATTATTTCTACAAAATGCTAGGTTACTGTCAATTCTGCGCTTTTCATTCCTTTAATTATCTTACTAAAGACAATTATTAGACGGATTTATGATATGGAGTGTTCTCAATAATTGCTTGAAAATTATGTTTATGGTTAAACAGAACGTTTCTACCGTAGTAGTGCCAAACGAAGTGAAGTGAAGTTCCGTTTTACTGACCTAATGTTGGTGTACAGTGAGTTTTACCGTTCTACAAATGTTCGAGATCTATTGCGTTGACGTTATTTTAAACAAGTTTTATTAATCTACTTAAGCTTAATATGGTTAAACGTTCATTAGCTATGTTTGTTATTGTAGGACAATTGCAAGTACATTTTATTTTTGTTATATTAAACCGGTTTTTATTGTGATCATTGTTGGCATATGTTTGTTACATTTCCAAATGTTCTTAATTGTATTAAATGAGAGAGAAAGACAGAGAATTGCATTAAGCAGCTGCATGGTTATGGGTTAATTAATTCTATGGTCGAGATAATAAGAAAAGGGATCGATTGACTGCGATATGGGGGACTATAATAATAGG